CACCCTTAACTGTTCTTCATAGCTGGGAAAATTTGTGAAGCCATTGACCTCCATGTGTCTCCCTTGGACTCTTGAGAAATCTTTCTTCTTTTAATATTTCTTCCTGAAGAGGAGTTCTTGAAGCATCCTCTACTCTTAAACTTATCCATCTGTCCCCAGCACCTCAACCTGTAGTGAAATACGCACCCAAATAACTTTAAACAACTTTGTTTAAACAAATAAATCCATTAATGAGCTGAAAACCTCCTGGTGTGAAATGAAAAATATTGATTACTTTCCACCTGTTGGCAGTGAAATCCCCTCTAGCTAAATGACCTGCTTAGATGTAAAGTTTATCTCTATCACCCCCAATCCTCCCATCTCAAAATCTTCTGAAATAAATACCTCATTGTTGGACAAATATTTTCCCAGAGTCAAGATTCATAAATTCAGTGTATCATTTACAGTAGTTTTCACTTACCAGACCTCTTGACTATTACTCACACACAGGTTGATGTTTGAAGACCCAAATCCAGGGTGGTGTTGGGTTGGTTTTAAATCATATTCAAAAGCCTTTCCATTTTTTCAGAAGACAGTTCTATTATGATTCTTCCATCCTTGGCTGCACCTTGGCCCTCATTCTCTTTCTGCTTTCACAGAAGAGGATGATAAAGCCAGTTGCCTTGAATGTAGATTTGAGTATACTGCCTCCCCCTGCCTGACTTAATGAATATACTCTGTACACTTGGAGTTTGCATGTTAGGGAAGTAACTATTTCATTGTTATCTTTATATTCCTAGCACCTATCACAATGCTTTGCACAGAGTAGATATTGAGTAAATGATTATTGAATTAAATTGGATGTATCTTGCAAGTTTAGGCAAAGTAGAACAGATACATGTTTTCTACTAAAGTACTCCTTGGGTACCTCATCATTTTATAGATGTGGCTGACCCTAGTGCTGAAAGTCATACCAGTGGGGCACAAACTCTGGCAGGTCCTACCAAGCTAGAAAGTCTTCAGATATAGGTCTGGTGATAAATTGTATGTTTGTTGTCTGAATACAAGGCTAATTAATTTTGGAGAGACTTATTATCAGGTTGGCTACAGGATTATGATTTTTTTTTTTTTGGCCCCAGAAAGTCTCAAAGACCATCTGCTGAGTTATAGGTTTACAATCTGTGTTGGTAGAGGGAATACCCCAAATTATAGATCATGGAAGAATGAAAGAAACACACAAATGCCTGTCTCCAAGCTTACTGGGGGTGTGGATGGAATGGAATCTGGTTGTCTCACTCAAAAAGGGGTCACTGATTTGTCTCACTGCGAGCAGATGACATTTTATTAGTTTCTGTTAAGTTCTTATTATCTCTAACTGTTCAGAGATAATATTTTCAATGCTCATACCTTCATCAATGATATGATCATTATAATCTGGGAAACAATTTAGCATCATGATAATCTTTTTACACTTTATCCTTGGAATGGTATGGAGTTCAATAGCAACAATCAAGGGGAAGGGGCATCATTCCAACAAGTAGTTAACTTGTGTTGCCTGGTGCCCAAATAGTGGGGTCCTTGCCCCACAGTGCTTTTAGGAATGAACCAGTAACTCCTATGGCAACAGGGACCATTTTCTTGCATCTAGCAGAGGACCACTTCATGCCAATGATGCTGAGGGGCAGGGTCCTAGAAGCATTGCTATGACTGGCAGACAGCTTTTAGGGGCCTCTTGTCCAAGACCAGGATGTTGGAAATAGGATGGAAGCTTATGATAAAGGATAGGGAAATGCTCAGATGTCTTCTATAATTTGTTTCATACCAGCTCATCCAGGTTGGTGATTCACTAATCCAGGTGCTAACTATCTATACCCCTTTATTTCTTCTCCTCTTTGGTCTTGTAATTCATCTTTCAGGCCATTTCTCTGCTTTTTAGCCGTTCTTCTTGGGAAGAGGGCTGGAGCAGAAAAAGAAGTGGAAATGCATGCATATCACTGTTTCTCAGAAGAAGAAATTGGAAAAGGTGGAGGGTAGGAGCTGTTGATTAAAATGGAATTATGGTATTGTCTGTGGACCTCAATCCACTAGATCATAAGCAAAAGTATGTTATAATGTGGGATGACAAAGATGAAGAAGAAAATAGACATGATTGCAATCATCCTTTGTTATAGCTTATATTTAGCCAATGCATTTCAAGTCCCTGCTTTTCAATAAAATCTTAATTCTAACTCTCCCCACCACCAGTTTTATGTATCCTCCAGGTTTTGTGTGGGAGTCTCAAAACTTCATCCACCTCCATTTCCTCACCCCCTCCCAAGTCCTGTAAGACAGACATCCAATTAAAACTGATATCCAATTAAAACTGATATCCACACTTAAATGTGCAGGTCAACAGTACTGAGTGCAGGAGATGATAAGGTAGTATTTGTTGAGTCATTTACACCATGGCATGCACCCTAATCTTTCACTCCAGAGCAACTGTGGAAGATGCTAGAGTTAGCATCTGAATCTTTCTTTCTCCTTCCCCCACCCTCTCTTCTCCCTCTCCCACTTTTCTCCATCCCTCCACCCCTTTCCTCTCTAACTCCCTCCCTTTTTTGTTTCCCTCCCTTTATCTGTCTCCCTCCCTATCTCTATCCCTCTCACTGTCCCTTTCTCCCTCTCTCTCTCTCCATCCCTCTCCTCTCTTTCCCCCTCTCCTCCTCTTTTCTTCCACTCCTCCCAGGCTGCGTCAGTCCCCCAGTAGCGTGACGCGCGGGGTCTGGGTGGGAGCTGTCCAGCCACCCAGGGTGCTGAATGCAGCAGCGGAGGCAGTGGCAGAGACAGCAGAAGCCACAACACTCAGAACCTCTCTTTTCAGTCCGGGGACCTGCAGCTCGCCGCCCCCACCGCCTCCCTCTCAACACCACCCTTTTGCTTTGCCTTTGCACCGCAGATCGAGCTGGGGAACAGAAGCCGAGGCGGCAGGCTCTGAACACCGGGGAAGACAAGACGACACCCGACATCCTTGCATTTTATTTGCTTTCTCTCCCTTTTTATAATATATTTGCATATATATTATACATTTTTTTTGCAAGTCAAGGGCAGGAAGCTAAAGCCACATCCTGGCTCCCCCCAAACGCCGCCACATCTCTCCCCTCACCCTCCCCTCCCTTCAGTCTCCAGCTTGCACCGCAAACAAGCCTTACCTGGTTGCATCTGCGAGGAGAGGTAGCAACAGCGAGTAGAGCCAGCCAGAAGAAGCGGAGAGGAGGGGAGGGCGGAGGGGGGTAGGGACCCAGCCAGGTCGGCCGCCGAGAGGTGGGTGGGGAGGCTGGTGGGGGGAGGGGGCAGGGGTAGGAGCTGCAGGCAAAGACACAGCAGCCTTCCCTTTCCCCCTCCCCCTCCCCAAAACCACCCCAGACGCGGACTGTACGCTTTTATTATCATTTTTAATTGTATTATTACATTCCTTTTGTTTTTAATATATATTCGCATATATATAAAAAACAATATTCCGTCTCTCCAAGTCGGCCCTCCTCATCCTCCACTCTCCTTGTCCCTCCCGGCCCTCACCCCTCACCCCCACCCCACGCCTGCCTTGCCTACGGTCGCATGGCAGCGCTACCAGGGAGCTGGGGCTCAGGGCCAGCCCCCAGGGAAGGAGGAGGAGGAGGATCATGAAGCTCGGACCCGCGGCCGCGCCGAGCGGCTGGCAGCAAGAGGACGAGACGGAGCAGCCCCCGACCCGGAGACAGCCGGACGCCGCCGAGAAGCAGCAACAGCCTCAGCCACCGCCGCCGCCGCAGCAACAGCAGCGCCGGACTCGGTCAGAGGAGAAAGAGGAGGAGGAGGAGGAGGAGGAGGGTGGGGAGGAAGAGGAGGAGGACGGCGACGAAGAGGAGAAGGCGGCGGAGGAGGAAGAAGAGGAAGAAGAGCAAGGGGTCAGCCCTAACCTCCAGTTCTCCCTGCCCTCGCTGCCCTCCAGCAGGGGCCTTTAATGGAGCCAAGGCGAGGGGACCTCGGATTTACAAGCTACAGCAAGGGTGGTCTGGGAGCCGAGATCATGTAACCCACCCCTTCTTTCCTCCTCCCCTCTTTCCACACACCCTTTTTTCTTCCCCTTAAGCTCACCTCCCTCTTTCCTTAGGGAGGGACCTCCACGCTCAGGAAGGAGCCCGCACTGTAAGAGTTAAACGTGCTTTCCAATCTCTCCCCCCCCCCCCCACCCCAAGAGCCACCACCACCTAGTCTCTCTGTCCAACCTCCTATCTTCTCTTAAAAAAAAAAAAATCTTTATTGTCTAAAAAGCCTTCCCTACCCTCTCCACCTCTTTGGCAGCAGAGGCAAAGCACAATTCCCTATTTCAATAACCGAAATCTTCCTAACTCAACTCTGCTCCTACCAGCCTCTCTGGTGCTTCTGGGATTAATCTCCCCAACTCTCTTCACCTAGGGCTCAAAACTTCCAACACACCACCCCCTTCCAGCCCTATTCCTTATTACCTGAAGAAAGTCCACCCCCTTTACATACACTCATAACCATTGATCAAGAGTAGGTTTTCCCTGAGTTGAGCTCAGTCCATTTCCTTATTTGATTTAAACTCTTCCTGCCCTAACCCCTCTAATCCAAAAGAAAGACACCTCCACTCCTTACTAGGACTTTGAGGAGAATTGAATAATTCTCCAGCCCCTACCCTACCTCCCACTCCAAAGGAATTCCCAACTAAAAAGGCTTTGGGTTAAAGGCCCAGTCTTCTCAACTCCTCTCCACAGTCCTTCTGTTGCCCTACCCTACCCACTCAGCCCCAGTTTAAAGACAGAAAGGAGACCTTCTTGTCCAAACCAAGCCCTGGGTTTGAGGGAAGAAAGAAGATAAAGACAATTTTTTTTCTTTTGGGGGGGTGGGGGGTGGGGGGAGGGTTTAGTGACAACAAATCATAGGAAGTTCACCCCTCAGGAGTATTTAGCATTTTGTGATTTGGAGGAAATTTAAGAGAGGGGAGTGACAAAGTAAATTCCCCCTCAACCCCATAGCACAAATACACTGTGGTCCCCCCACCTCCATCCAGTCCCCCTATCCCTAAAGACTCCAGTTGGGAGCTCAGCCCTCTCTCTACCATAGGCACATGCTAATGCCCCTGAGTGGGTTCCTCTGGTGGTGGTGGTGGTGCTGCTGCTGGTACTGCTGTGGAGGGTATTACCAGGCTCCCCAGATGTTGCGCCACCAGGGTCTCCTCAAGTGCCGATGTCGCATGCTTTTCAATGACCTGAAGGTCTTCTTGCTTCGGCGCCCACCGCCGACCCCGCTGCCCATGCACGGTGACCCCCAGCCCCCTGGCTTGGCAGCCAACAACAACACCCTCCCAGCCCTGGGTGCTGGTGGATGGGTAGGCTGGAGAGGTCCTCGAGAGGGGACCAATGGGGAGATCCCTCCTCTGCCACCTCCACCACCCTTGCCACCCTCCTCTGCAGAGGACGACTGGGATGGCCAGGTTGTGGAGCCACCTGCCTCCCTGCTCAGCAGCACCTCCTCAGATGACTTCTGTAAAGGGAAGGCTGAGGACCGCTATTCACTTGGCAGCAGCCTGGACAGTGGCATGAGGACCCCCCTCTGCAGGATCTGCTTCCAGGGCCCTGAACAGGTGAGTCCTTTTTCTTTTTCTTACCTTACTTCTTGGCATCTTCTTCTGGGTGTTGAAGATGCATAGTTACTAACCTATATATTTTAGATGAACCCTAACTTGGGCCCTGGAGAGGCCAATCAGATATTCTCCACTTCAAAACTCCAAAAAATACACTATGAGTTTCAAGGACTCATCAACGGTTGATTCTTCTCTCTAGATTTGCCAAGGTGGCCAAGGGATGGAATCTTTTGTGTCTCTAGTAGTATCTTACCAGTATCTCATCCTAGTGGTATCTTACCCATCTTGGAGGAAAAGGAATGGAGAGTAGTGAATCTGGAAGAGATTTCTTCGCTGTTACTGACATATTTTAGTTGTCACAATTCCCTTTTCAATGTTATAACCCCAGCCCCACTCAGAATGCTTCCTCAGTAGCCTCAAACTCAAGGATAAGGAGTCCAGAAGATATTAGGGTAAGGAAGTCTATTAGCAATGATTTTTTTTCAGGACTTCCTTTGGGTATCTGACTGCCTCCAGGGGATACTCTCTCATATCTCAAGACCAACATCACAGTCAACTTTTTCTGCCTCCACAAGTTCTCCAAGACCTCCCTGGCTTTCCTCAATAGATTCTGTGCTTTTTATTTTGAGAACATCCCAGCTTTAATACCTTGTTTTCCAGAGCACCATCTCCTCACGCCCACAATAGATTATACACCCACACTCACAAAGAATTATACAGTTTGCTCCAAAAGTCCTAGTATTCCACAACCCCCCCCATGACTGCAGACTGAGATTCAAGTTTTTCTAGGTAGAAAGACGGGATAGAGAGATATGGGAGAGGGGTGTCTCCCATATGGAGGGGTGTCTTTTCGAAGAATCTAAAACTGATGGGTTCAGAAATAGCTTTAGAACAGCCTATATTAGGAGACCAATTGGAGGTGAACCTTGGGTAGAAAGACTTTCTAAAGTCTGGGGACCATTCATTGAGGTTTTTTGGCAATAGGAATATATACTCTCACTGATGGGATTCTGACCACAGTTCCTGCTTCCTTGTTCCTCTGTCCTGCCACCCTGGTCTACTCCTCCTAGAAATACTACCTGTCTAAAATCCTGAACCTACCTGAATCTGGGAAGTAGCCATAAGTTTCCTCAAAGTCCTGAGTTGTGCCAGTTCTTGCCAAGGGAACTCTCAGATGAAAGATTCTAATAGAGAGACCTGGATTCATCCCTATAAGGAAAGTGATGATAAAGAGCATGATAAAGGGCATGATAAAGAGGAAAAAAACTGGTCAAAACAGAATAAAGTTAGAGAGAGTGTTTTGGAGTATGAAAAGTTGCCAATTTGGGCTTCTGACCATTGGAAAAGTCCCATAAACACCCTTCCTGCTGTTCCCCAGTCCCATATCCATGGTACTTTGGGCATTCAATTTATTAGAAAATGTTCTGCAAATTCACAAGTTATACTTTCCAAGGAATGGAGATCACACTTGTATGACAAGAAAAGCTAGAAAATGTGATTTGGATAGAAAACCTTAGGGGATGTAAGAAGTTGGCAGAAACTTTGGTGGTGGTTAAGAGGGCTGGGGCAGAGTGGTGGGCACTGACAAATACTTCTTAGGTAGTTATATTGTGGTAGAGACAGGATATGTGAAGAGTTTGATGAGCAAAAGAAGATTTAACCTAATGCAGGCAGGATACCTCTCAATTGCTTGCTCCCTTTCTGAATTTGAGATGGGTGCTGACTTTGTACTCTGGGCAACCTGTTGCAGAATGCTTAATGATCCAGTGTTGATTCCAGGGCATAGAGATGGGTGCTGGGAAATGGGGATGGTATGTCACAGAACAAAATTCTGGGAGGTAGTAGTCACTGCTATATTTTAGCTACATCTCAATTAGATGAAATTACTTTGGGAGACTGGGGTCTAGACTAGTACCCATGCAGCTCCATATGAAAGCATTTCTGCTTTGAACAGAAATGTTCTCACCTCCCAAAGGAAAGAGACATTTTTGATTTCATTGATATAGGGAACTCCCAGATGAGAAAACCTCTGCTACCAATGCAGGCCAGCACCTTCTCTACCCTTTCAGTATTAGACAGATGTCCAAAACACTAAAAGATTAAGTGACTTGCTCAGGGTCACACAGCCAATGTTTGTGAGAGGCAGAACCTGAACCCAGATCTTTCTGTCTCCAAGGCCAGCTCTCTATCCGCTATTCACACTGCCTTTCAACAAAGGAAGAATCAGGAATCCCACCCAGTTCTCTACTTGTAGACTTCACCTTTCTCCCCAATTCCTGAATGCACAGCAGAGAAACTCTTCCTCCTGGGAGACCATATGCTGATTAGTTTCGGTGGGTCCTAGTACCAGGATCATGAACTCTCAGGCCAAATCCTTCTCTTCTGTAATGAGAAAGAGTCATTCAGCCTTCTAGGAGTTCTCCTAAGCCACTTGTTCTGCCCTCTTGGGATCTGGTGGTATAGGTTACCCCCTCTCCTCTGAGGTATCTTAGCCCTGTTAGAATAGGTGCTTATGTCTGCCACAGAAAGCAGCCAAGTCTCTAGAAAGTAGCAAGATCGGAATTTAAGATATAGGTTCTAGGCCTCGCCATCATCTTTGTTTCTTCGCATTCCTTTAGTAAGGTGTCTCACTTTTTAAGATCTCAGTTTTACTCTCATTGATATGAGAAGATGTTTCCTTCTCCTTCCTTCTGCCAAGTATTTGTTGGGAGGCTCCAGGAGAAATCTAATGTGGGTCTAATACCAGTAGTGCTCATTGATTCAATCTACTACAGGGCCTTCCTGAAACTGGAAACTTTCTCTTTCTGTATCTCAGTATTTTAAAGTGGCATCAAAGTTCAAGCAACAAAATCAACAATTCAGATTTGTTTTTGTTCTTTAAGCTTTTCAAAGCTCTTTCCTCATGAAAGCCAGTGAGGTTACTGTGATGGATTGGTAAAAACAATGTCTTTGAAATCACAGACCTATGTTGAAATCCAGGTTGTGACAGTTATCTGTGGTACCTTGAACAAATCTCTTACAAATGAGATAATAATTGTAAAGCACTTAGCACAGTGCTTGGCACATAGTAAACACCATATAAATGTTAGTAATTGTCATGTTATTATTATTATTAGTTACTTACCCTCTCTGGCCTTAGTTTTCTTGTCTGCAAAATGAAAGAGTTGAATTGGATGATTCCAAAGGTTCCTTTAATCTCTAAAATCTATGATTCTAGGAAGATAGTACAAGTATTATTAATCTCACTTTACAGATGAGGAAACTGAGGCTTAAAGAGTGATTTGTCCATGGCCACACAACTTGTGTCAGGGTGGAACTCAGGACCTAGGTATCCTGACTCCAAGCCTAGTCTTCTTGTCACTATAACACAGGGGAACCTCCTTTGACATTGTGGGCTATGTTGCTGTTGCTTAAATTAAATGTATTTTCAGGATGTCACTGCATTTGCTTGTTATATTTAAGGGATATGTTATAGGCTATGTTATAACATTTAGGCCATGTTATAATGGGATCAACTTGAAGTAGTAATTACATTAATAACCTATTCCTTAGAATTCTAAACTACCTTTCCCAGCTTTCATCTCCCTTCAACTTTGCAGTATCTATACAACAGAGGGCGAGGTTTGGGATGAGGGGTGACAGGAAGGGAATCAATTGACCCCCATTTTATGAAAGAGAAATCTTCGAAGAGCAGAAATGGAAAACATGGCATCCTTCATCTTAGCTTTTTCAGCATGTGTCCAGCAGTCAAAATCACAGAATCTCAGAGTGAGAATAGAAGTTGAAAATTGTCTAGTCTACTATGTATCTGGACCAGAATTCCCTTTATAGCATTTCTGATGGGTGACCACTTAGCCTCCTCCTGAGTGGGGAACACAACACTAACTCCTAAGGCAGTCCAGTCTGCTTTGGGACAGCTCTGTTAGGAAGTTTTTCCATAGATGGAGCAGAAATCTACCTGTTGGTCACTCTCAGGCCTAGAAGACAAAAAAAGCATTCTTAGAGGCTGAGTATTTGAGTTTCCTATTCATCCTCTATCACAGTGGTGTCAAACTTAAAATAGAAATAGAGACCATTAACCTGGTACATATAAATCTGTGTGGCTGCATATTGACTTAGCTTAAAAATATGATGTTATCTATGTTTTATTGTATTTTTATTTATGTTGTTGAATATTTCTCAATTATATTTTAATCTGGTTTGAGCAGTATTTTGGAGCGGACCTTGTGTTTGACATCTTTTCCTCTACCATATGTACACTTAATAACCTTCTATGTGTACAACACTGCTTTGAGTACTGGTGGAGATTACGAAGCAAGAAACTGGGTCTCTTGCTTCTAAGGGCTTCCAATATAAATGTTGGAGATTGGATCAAACTGTAGTGATCAGAATAGCTCCTCCTCCATACAAACAGCACTCTCCACATCACTGCCCACAAACACAGACATAAGTGCTTGCCCTGGAGAGCATATTAGGCAGGATGAGGAAAGGCAGAGTTATTGTGAGAATAAGTGATGCTTTGAGATTAGGCTCTGCTCCATCTGAGAAGACTGGCTAAAAAGCCCTTCTCAACTGCTCGCTCTCTCTCTCTCTCTCTCTCTCTCTCTCTCTCTCTCTCTC